TGAAAAACAAGTACTTCAAAAGTAATTTAAATAAACAAGTTTGCAAACATTTCCATCAATTGGAGCCCTGCCTTCCGATTCTCTGCTTTCAAAATTCAAGGTTTTTCACGCATGGGTTTTATTCTCTTGGGCATAGTAACCACGATTCAAAGTGTATGCATAAGCAAATCCTTAAGGTAGAGCAATCCACAGAAGCCCAACTGCTCCTTCTGTACATAGAAAACCTTTAACTGCAGTTGCTGTTAAAAAAAAAAAAAAAATCAATGGAGTACAAAGATCTTCTTTAATATGGTGCACTACAGGGTTTTCTGAGTGCACTTCGTATCAATCCGTCACCACATTCCATTATAGCAAGTCATCGAGGTAATGACACACATGTTAAAAAAAAAGAGTAATATTTAAAGAATGCAAATAATCATTTTTCAGACAGTGCGTCTACAGCCGCCCATTTGTAGGCAAGTTTGAAAGGAAATGTGAGGATTAAAACTTCTCTGTGTAGTAAAAAAAAAAAAAAATGATGAGCAACATATTGACTTAAACAGTAATACATTAACAAGCCACTATGTTAATACATCGTGGTTGTTAGTGACAAATCTGTGCCGTTATTTCAAGGAAGAGACGTGGCAGCTTGTGCTTACTCACCCTGACAAGGCTCGCAGCAATACATGAGCACGGTATCTTCACATTCTTGAGGCACTTTTCATGAGACATGAAGTTGCAAACTGTGGAACAAAAGAGAAATGTCAGCAAGGGACGCTCCTTTTGAGGACCGAAGAGTCACACATAGCCAAAAGCAGTTAGGAACACAACTTTTAGTCACATTAGCTCTCCCTCGGTTTTGAATATGCATGTGACTTTCATGCGGCTTACAGTGCGAGAACTGCATCCATTCTAATTAATAAAATATTAGCAATAGAAAAGTTAGAAAGTTTCTGAGTTACCTGCAGCCAGTCATTTCTCTCCGGACACACGAAATGAGATCTTAATATCCAGAAGAGATTTTGAAGTAACTATCTACAGTAAGAAATAGGTCTGTGGTACAGCCGAAGTAGGCTCACACACTTGAAAATGAGTTTTCCTCCAAATTGCATGTGACAGGAATCAGGAAGAAAAGGAGAGCAAACTGCAGGACACTGGTTACAATTAGTCAGTGAGACTACAAAAAGTCTCAGGGTGCTTAATTATTTTTGGGAGGGCAGAACAATAAGTAAGAATCCCATCTTACTTATTTCCTATCTTTACAAAAGACCTTAAAGCAAGATGGTCTTTGACAGTAACTTCTCACAAGAGTACTATTTTCCAGTTTCTTACTGTGAGTTTACACGGCGTTACACTGAGCAGGGAAAACAGGACATACTTTACTGCAGTTCTACTGCCTAGCACCAATTAGGGAATAACTAGGCGTTTGTCACGCCTCAGAAGAACTAAACATGAATTTTCAGGCATCTCCATGTCTCATGTGAAAGCACAGACCACTCCAAGCGCGTGTGGCAGAAAATTCATTTGTGTTTAGCAGCTGCAACCGTACACAGGAAGGATTCACACATCTCAGATTTTCAGGTGCACGCTGTAACGTTTCCGAAGTTTCACGAGCAACTGGAAAAAACGACAACTTCGAGTTTCCCATCTGCAATCCATGAGCTCTACTTACGCTGCTGCTACTGATGGTATGTGCTAGTGTCACCCAGAGCAGAAAATATCCCCCTCTTTCCTGGTTCATTTTCCTGTCCCTTCACACCACTTCTCTCATCCCAAAACGAGGGTTTAAATTCAGCTTTGTTTCCATTTTGGTGGCATAGCGTGGATGCTGAGAGATGCAACCCAACCACTCTCAGCTCCCTGCAATGGTTTGGTTCAGGCTTTCGTTCATCTTCATGATGGATTTAGGCACGTGCTCCCCAACGCTGAGAAAAAATTAGCTGCGCCATATGTGTTAAGTGGCCTCTTTGCTATTTTATAAAGAGAATCCAAGCCCTTCTGAGCTTGCCTTGGTCAAAGGGAGTGACTTCCACACGGAGGCAAACCTTCATAAGTCAAGAAAATAAGTCTAAAAAGCAACAAACTGCAGACACAGACAGACTTCCACCAAGAACATCATTATGGAGTCAGTTGGTCAAGGAGAACAACCTCAGTAGCTACCAAAACCTGGTCAAATGGCAATATGCCCCTTCACTGTCCTGCCTCAGATAAGAGGTAATAACAGAGCAATGCCAAGAGGTAATAACAGAGCAACGCACCATAAATAGTTCCCAGAAACTTTATGATCTCCAAGACATTCCTCTGCAGAGAGGCAGCGGGCAGGACACAGCCCAGGAGACCAGTATCTCCAAACAAGTTACCAGCTTTAAGTGTACACACTACAACTCCACGCACAAGTGAACCAAGCCCTAAAAGAGCATCGCAGAGGAGAACACTCTTAGTCATCCTCAAGAACAACCCTCCTCCCGAGGGTCTGGCTCTTGGGAGACATTCCCCTTGTATCCAGACAAGTCTGGCCACCGCACAGCACTACTCAGGTTTCTGCTCACGATGACAACGGCAAACAAGGATCTTCATGAATAAAGATGGCATCTCACGGCCCACCTGGGGAAACACAGCAGACACTAGAGATTTGAAATGCAAGAAAAAACATAATAGAGAGAAATTTGAAGGCGCAATTTCGGACCAGCAGCAAAATGTAAAGTTGAATAAGGGGCTGAAATACTTGACTGAGCACATAAAGACAAATACAACTCTCAGAATTCAATGAGTTTCCTAAAATTTCAAAGGAAGGATTGAAGCATTTGTGTAGACTCAAATAGAAGAATATCAGGAGACCAACACAGAAGGATAGCATTGCCCACACACAGATTCTAGCTTTTTTTAAATGAAAAATTTCTATTTCTTTCAGGACATACAGCGCTCCACTTCTCAACATGTGCTTCAAATTCAGCAGTGAGGATTTGCTGTCTTTTTATCCTCTCTCCCAAAATTTCTCACGAGTTCAGCTAACTCTCATAAGTCACCATTTTGTTTTTGTTTGCCATATTCCCCAAGAAAACAAATAAATGGCAGCAAGCAAAAAGCCCTGAAATATGAGCAGTATTTGCAGAGAGAAAAAAAGAAAAAACACAGAAAACCAACAAACAAACAAACACACCCAATCAGACACACAACACACAAACAAAAAAACCCTTAAGTCTATGTTAGCACCCCCAGATCAGCAACACATGTGAGTCTGGAAATTCTAAAAACCAGGAGGGGGGTGGTATTTTTAAGGGATTATCTTTGATTGGGAAAAACAGACCAGAAGATGCCGTGCAAAGTTTCAGAAGATGGAATGCAAAATTTCGAGGGAAGAAAAAAAAAAAAAGACACACACAACAGCCTTTAGAAGAAAAGGAAGCGGACAGACTGTTCTTTCTATTTATAGCAAGAGGGTTTCATCGTACATTTAATCTCCATCGCACGCTACAGTGAGACACATCTATGGATTGCTTAAGTCAAAGCAAGGCAGCTTCAAACACCACTTTCAGGTATCGCATACAAAATGGACAGTTTGACATCATGCTGGTTAGGCTGGAGTGTTTAGTTTACCCTTTAGCTAAGCATTTTAAGAACTATTCAAATTATCAAATAGCATGGGCAAACATTTGGGATTTATTCAAAGAAAACAACATCCTCAAGCTTCAAACAGAGCATCAAATGCAAGGTACCTACAGTTATGTTTAGGCTGCATTACGTTAATTTTCTTATTCTTGTTTCTAAAAGCAAACCACTAGCTCAGCCACAACACTCAGTAATATAAGAATTTTCCCAGCAATCAGTGTACACTAACTTTTTCCAGAAATTAAAATTTTAAGGCCAGCATATTATATAACATTCTCAGATATTTAATGAGTATATAAATAAAACTAAAAAGAATTCTCTGAGGCATCTTGTTGAATTTGAGTACTTGGAAGAAATCCCCATCCTGCAGGGCAGGATTGCTTGTCATATCTAGGAATGCTACACAAACCATCTACAACTCAATGGCAAAGAACTCCGACATTTATGTAGGTTACATGAAAGAATTACTTAAGAATTACAGCTTTATAGCACAAGGTGTGGGAAAAGGAGGCACAGGGAAAGGAGAAACCTTTTAAAGATCAGATGCTGGATGTCATAAGGACCCAAGCGTCAGCAGCTCTGAAGCTTGGCCATTGCATACACGTGCACCCATGTACACCCTGTGAATTTATGCAGTGGCACAGGGATGCTTTTTGGCCCACTTTCTTTCCCATTCTTCTCCTAAAAAATTCTAACACTCAATTGACCGCTTCTAATATTTAAGCACTGAGCATGTGTTCCTTTAGACCTACTGTAACTTAGATTTCTAGTCCAACTGATACAAGCTGTTTGAAAGCCCATCAACTTATGAGATTATTTTCCCCACTCACTCACATCAACTTTTTCAACCTTGAGCAATGAAACAGCAAATTAAAATAAAATCAATCTAAATAGAGATTCTGCATCTCAGACAACCAAGGAAACTTCAGCAGCTGATGGTCAATTTTGCATCTTGAATAGCTTAGAAACACTGGAAATTGTCATTATTCCCCTTTTTGGGGGGGGGGAAACAAGGTAGAAGGGGGAACAGTTTAAGACTGCTTAAGAGTTAGTTGAGTAGCATAAGCCCTACTAAAAAACTATGTGTACTCAGAATACACATAGAACCTGCCTTCAGTTATTTCCTTTTATCTGCTACCCAAACTCAGGCCTGTAACCAGTGTGGTATTATTGTACCATTTCACATACACTGGATGTAAACTTTTTATTAGGGAGAGATCCTTTATCTATACAGCATCCTTGCCCACATCCTTCTTCCAGTAAGATACTCAAGAAAAGAAGATAAGAAAAGGGCTGTGGTTGTGACTAAGAACTTACTTGAAATCAGACTGCTTGGGTGACTGGGGAAGGTTGCTGACATTTCCTTGAATGTGCGGAAATTGTATTAAAATATAAACCTTCTACTTGACTAAATTTTCAGTAGCTTTTATTTATCAACACATGTTGAATAAACAGCTAGTACAAGCGTTATAGATTATACCTATCCAAACACAGGCTCCCTTTAGAGGTGTGTATTTAAAAGCAAAACAATTAGGTTAGAGAAACAGAAGGCGAAGCCCTGATACATAAAGCAAAACTTCACCACTTCCTTCCTGAACTGGAATGTGCCTTTATACTTGCACCTATTTTAGTCTTAAAGACTAAGGCACCCATTTCAAAAACTCATTTAGAAATAGCTTCCTGGCTTAGAAGCAGGTGCAAGAATATTACCTTTTGCTGTTTCCTCAGGGAATTGCTGGGATTATCCAGGCTCTTTCCTCACTGTGCAGAGCTGAGGGTCAAGGCCCCTTCCTCGTACACTGGGCGCTGCAGACCGGCTGCCTCGGTGAGACGGAGGAGCCTCCAATTTCAGCAGCAAGCTCCGGGCAGCGCAAAGGATGCGCAGTTCAGCTTGCATTTTAAACGCAAGAGGTACTGCAGAAAGAGTAATCACTAACGCCATTTACTCTGAAGGAGGTTGTTTTTACAGCAGGGTGAGTTTTTCCATTCCTTCAGTAACTTCACTAGTTTTCATTTTTAGTAACTCTAGTGGACAGCATTAATGTTAAGAGGCTTTCAGGGAAAAAAATGTTTTAACTACAGAAGACTTAAGGTCAGACTTTCACATGCTGTAAATCAGCCTGACTCCTTCAGA